TGGAGAGGGAGAGGGGAGATGTAGAGGGAGAGGGGAGAGGGAGAGGGAGATGGAGAGGGAGAGGGAGATGGAGAGGGAGAGGGAGAGGGAGAGGGAGATGGAGAGGAAAAGGGGAGATGGAGAGGAAGAGGGAGAGGGAGAGGGAGATGGAGAGGGGAGATGGAGATGGAGATGGAGAGGAAGAGGGAGAGGGAGAGGGAGAGGGAGAGGGAGATGGAGAATGCAGGTGGAGAGGGGAGATGGAGATAGAGTAGAGATGGAGCCAGAGAGAGGAGAGATGCCATAGAGGGACAGTGCCGATGGAGGTGGAGAGATGGCGATAGAGAGTGGAGATGGAACTGGAGATGGAGGTGGAGAGCTGGAGATGGAGCTGGTGAGATGAGCGGGAGAAGGGGAAATGGAGCTGGAGATAGGAAAGATGGAGAGGGGAGAGAGAGATTGAAAGGGAGACAAGAAGGGGGAAGGAGAGGGGAATAGGGAGGATGAGAGGTGGCGAGAGAGGGAGGCATAGGCTCCAGCAAGGTTGTTGGTTGCATAACTGTGATGGTGCAGTGCTCTGCATTCTGTGGGCCCTGGCCGGAAGTCGTTGCATTTTCTGGGCATGCGCTACTCGACAGCCAGGTGGTTAGTGGGGGGGGGACCGGAAGTCAGCCCCCAGTGGCACGGCCTGGCCTTAGCCTGGCGGGCCCGGAGCCATACCTTGTTGGCAATGCCTCTGGTCACCACCGGGGGGCAGTGAGGCTCTCTGGCTCAGGCCTCCTCCTAGGCGGGAGCCCGAGGTTCCGGGAAGCGGAGGCCCTGCCTAGTGCTTTTCAGAACATCTGCCTCAGTGCTGGGAGAACAGAGGTGCTGGGGTCTGGCGTGGGCGTGGACACTCCTGGAGTGGGCGCCATCGATGCCCCCCTCCTCCTCCTGTCCTGCTGCTGCTCTGTCCTGAGGGCCCCGGGTGCGAGAAGTTGGCACCGGTGCAGGCCTTCTTCCTGAGGAGGGGAGACCGGGGGTCTTGGGTTTAGCTGGGATGGCCCACCCACGCCCTCGCTCCTGGCAGCACAGGGATCCCCAGCTGCTCAGCCTCCCCAGCCGCCTCCCTGAGCCTCAGGTCTGTGGAGAGTGGCAGCTTTGTCCTGCCCTGCATGCCACGCCCTGCACTGGAGCTGATGGATCCCAAGAGCAGGTTGGCCTGCACGTGCCTGCCCCAGGATGGCCTGGGGTGTGTGTGTGTGTGTGTGTGTGTGTGTGTGTGCGCACGCGTGCGTGTGCACATGTGTGTGTGTGCGTGCGTGCGCGTGTGTGTGCACATATGTGTGTGTGTGTGTGGTACGTGTGCATGCACACGTGCATGAGGAGGCGGCTCACTGGCATAAGAGCTCTAAGGATACCCTTCCAGGAAAGCAGACGGGGTGGGGAGGGGAAGATTGGGAGCAGGGGCTCTCCACAGTGCCTGTCTGGCCTCCCCTGCCCTGCCCGCTTCCAACCTCTCCCACAGAGCCCAGGAGGGAGGGAGTGGATGCAGAGGCCCAGGCAGGGCCCGAGGAGCTTCTAGGCCACAGGGGGCTCTGTCTGAAGCTACTTCTGGGCCTGCCTGAGCCGCTCCGGCCTTTGTGCCATATCCCGTGGGTACAGTAGCACAGAGGCAGTGCCTGGCTACGCTACCATCCCGGCACCCTCACCAGGCGGCTCCTTCCAGCTGCCCACCTGACCACTGTGGGATGGAGCCCGGGCTGAACCCGTCCACCTGTGAGAACTTAGTGTCGCTAGCCAGCCCTCTGGCCCTCCATGAAGGGACCCGGTTAATGAACAAGCCTGAGCAGGCCTCCTCCTGCTGGAAAGGCTGCCGGCCCTGCAGTGCGGTGTGGTAGGTGAACGTGCCTCCGCCACCCGGGGCCTGCACCACGCTGCCCCTCACCCCACGGAGTAGCTCAGGCTTGCCTCCCCTCCACACCCTGAGTTTTCCCAGGTCCGGAAGGCCAAGCAAACACTGGCGGGTGTGTGATTGTGCCCAGGACATGAGCAGAGATGTGGAGTGTGTCCAGGATGTGGCAGGTGTGGAGTGTGCCCAGGACGTGGCAGGTGTGCGATTGTGCCCAGGACATGGCAGGTGTGGAGTGTGGCAGGACGTGGCAGGTGTGGAGTGTGCCAGGACGTGGCGGGTGTGTGGAGTATGTCCAGGACGTGGCGGGTGTGGAGTGTGCCAGGACGTGGCGGGTGTGTGGAGTATGTCCAGGACGTGGCGGGTGTGTGGAGTATGTCCAGGACGTGGCGGGTGTGGAGTATGTCCAGGACGTGGCGGGTGTGGAGTATGTCCAGGACGTGGCAGGTGTGAGTGTGCCAGGACGTGGTGGGTGTGTGGAGTATGTCCAGGACGTGGTGGGTGTGGAGTATGTCCAGGACGTGGCGGGTGAGGAGTATGCCAGGACGTGGCGGGTGTGTGGAGTATGTCCAGGACATGGCGGGTGTGGAGTGTGGCAGGACGTGGCGGGTGTGTGGAGTATGTCCAGGACGTGGCAGGTGTGTGGAGTATGTCCAGGACGTGGCGGGTGTGTGGAGTATGTCCAGGACGTGGCGGGTGTGTGGAGTATGTCCAGGACGTGGCGGGTGTGGAGTGTGGCAGGACGTGGCGGGTGTGTGGAGTATGTCCAGGACGTGGCGGGTGTGGAGTATGTCCAGGACATGGCGGGTGTGGAGTGTGGCAGGACGTGGCGGGTGTGTGGAGTATGTCCAGGACGTGGCAGGTGTGGAGTGTGGCAGGACGTGGCGGGTGTGTGGAGTATGTCCAGGACGTGGCAGGTGTGTGGAGTATGTCCAGGACGTGGCGGGTGTGTGGAGTATGTCCAGGACGTGGCGGGTGTGTGGAGTATGTCCAGGACGTGGCGGGTGTGGAGTATGTCCAGGACGTGGCGGGTGTGGAGTATGTCCAGGACGGGGCGGGTGTGGAGTATGTCCAGGACGTGGCGGGTGTGGAGTGTGCCAGGATGTGGTGGGTGTGGAGTGTGGCAGGACGTGGTGGGTGTGGAATGTGGCAGCACGTGGCGGGTGTGGAGTGTGCCAGGACGTGGCGGGTTTGTGGAGTATGTCCAGGACGTGGCGGGTGTGGAGTGTGCCAGGACGTGGTGGGTGTGGAGTATGTCCAGGACGTGGCGGGTGTGGAGTGTGGCAGGACGTGGCGGGTGTGGAGTATGTCCAGGACGTGGCGGGTGTGGAGTATGTCCAGGACGTGGCGGGTGTGTGGAGTTTGTCCAGGACGTGGCGGGTGTGTGGAGTATGTCCAGGACGTGGCGGGTGTGTGTGTGCCCAGGACGTGGCGGGTGTGTGGAGTATGTCCAGGACGTGGCAGGTATGGAGTGTGGCAGGACGTGGCGGGTGTGTAGAGTATGTCCAGGACGTGGCGGGTGTGTGGAGTATGTCCAGGACGTGGCGGGTGTGTGTGTGCCCAGGACGTGGCGGGTGTATGGAGTATGTTCAGGACGTGGCGGGTGTGGAGTGTGCCAGGACGTGGCGGGTGTGTGGAGTATGTCCAGGACGTGGCGGGTGTGGAGTATGTCCAGGACGTGGCGGGTGTGGAGTATGTCCAGGACGTGGCGGGTGTGTGGAGTATGTCCAGGACGTGGCAGGTATGGAGTGTGGCAGGACGTGGCGGGTGTGTGGAGTATGTCCAAGACGTGGCAGGTGTGGAGTGTGCCAGGACATGGCGGGTGTGTGGAGTATGTCCAGGACGTGGCAGGTATGGAGTGTGGCAGGACGTGGCGGGTGTGTGGAGTATGTTCAGGACGTGGCGGGTGTGGAGTGTGGCAGGATGTGGTGGGTGTGGAGTGTGGCAGCACGTGGCGGGTGTGGAGTGTGCCAGGACGTGGCGGGTGTGTGGAGTATGTCCAGGACGTGGCGGGTGTGGAGTATGTCCAGGACGTGGTGGGTGTGGAGTATGTCCAGGACGTGGCGGGTGTGGAGTATGCCAGGACGTGGCGGGTGTGGAGTATGTCCAGGACGTGGCGGGTGTGGAGTATGTCCAGGACGTGGCGGGTGTGGAATGTGGCAGGACGTGGCGGGTGTGGAGTATGTCCAGGACGTGGCGGGTATGTGGAGTATGTCCAGGACGTGGCGGGTGTGTGGAGTATGTCCAGGACGTGGCGGGTGTGTGTGTGCCCAGGACGTGGCGGGTGTATGGAGTATGTCCAGGACGTGGCGGGTGTGGAGTGTGCCAGGACGTGGCGGGTGTGTGGAGTATGTCCAGGACGTGGCGGGTGTGGAGTATGTCCAGGACGTGGCGGGTGTGGAGTATGCCAGGACGTGGCGGGTGTGTGGAGTATGTCCAGGACGTGGCGGGTGTGGAGTGTGCCAGGACGTGGTGGGTGTGGAGTATGTCCAGGACGTGGCGGGTGTGGAGTGTGGCAGGACGTGGCGGGTGTGGAGTATGTCCAGGACGTGGCGGGTGTGGAGTATGTCCAGGACGTGGCGGGTGTGAGTGTGCCCAGGACGTGGCAGGTGTGTGGAGTATGTCCAGGACGTGGCGGGTGTGGAGTGTGCCAGGACGTGGCGGGTGTGGAGTGTGGCAGGACGTGGCGGGTGTGGAGTATGTCCAGGACGTGGCGGGTGTGTGGAGTATGTCCAGGACGTGGCGGGTGTGTGGAGTATGTCCAGGACGTGGCGGGTATGAGTGTGCCAGGACGTGGCGGGTGTGGAGTGTGGCAGGACGTGGCGGGTGTGGAGTGTGCCAGGACGTGGCGGGTGTGGAGTGTGGCAGGACGTGGCGGGTGTGGAGTATGTCCAGGACGTGGCGGGTGTGTGGAGTATGTCCAGGACGTGGCGGGTGTGTGGAGTATGTCCAGGACGTGGCGGGTATGAGTGTGCCAGGATGTGGCGGGTGTGGAGTGTGGCAGGACGTGGCGGGTGTGAGTGTGCCCAGGACGTGGCAGGTGTGTGGAGTATGTCCAGGACGTGGCGGGTGTGGAGTGTGGCAGGACGTGGCGGGTGTGTGGAGTATGTCCAGGACGTGGCGGGTGTGGAGTGTGTCAGGACGTGGCGGGTGTGTGGAGTATGTCCAGGACGTGGCGGGTGTGGAGTGTGGCAGGACGTGGCGGGTGTGAGTGTGCCCAGGACGTGGCGGGTGTGTGGAGTATGTCCAGGACGTGGCGGGTGTGGAGTGTGCCAGGACGTGGCGGGTGTGGAGTGTGGCAGGACGTGGCGGGTGTGGAGTATGTCCAGGACGTGGCGGGTGTGTGGAGTATGTCCAGGACGTGGCGGGTATGAGTGTGCCAGGACGTGGCGGGTGTGGAGTGTGGCAGGACGTGGCGGGTGTGAGTGTGCCCAGGACGTGGCAGGTGTGTGGAGTATGTCCAGGACGTGGTGGGTGTGTGGAGTATGTCCAGGACGTGGCGGGTGTGGAGTATGTCCAGGACGTGGCGGGTGTGGAGTATGTCCAGGACGTGGCGGGTGTGGAGTGTGGCAGGACGTGGCGGGTGTGTGGAGTATGTCCAGGACGTGGCGGGTGTGTGGAGTATGTCCAGGACGTGGTGGGTGTGGAGTGTGTCCAGGACGTGGCGGGTGTGGAGTATGTCCAGGACGTGGCGGGTGTGGAGTGTGCCAGGACGTGGCGGGTGTGGAGTATGTCCAGGACATGGCGGGTGTGGAGTATGTCCAGGACGTGGCGGGTGTGGAGTGTGGCAGGACGTGGCGGGTGTGAGTGTGTCCAGGACGTGGCGGGTGTGGAGTGTGGCAGGACATGGCGGGTGTGGAGTGTGCCAGGACGTGGCGGGTGTGTGAGCATGCCAGGACATGGCAGGTGTGGAGTGTGGCAGGACGTGGCGGGTGTGAGTGTGCCAGGATGTGGTGTGTGAGTGTGCGTGCTTTCTCCCCAGCCAGACGAAGTGCTGGCAGGACGGCCCTGCCTGGCAGGCACCCCCGCATCATTCGGGGCCTTGTGAGAGCGCCGGGCACATAGGAATGCTCTGCGCCAGGCATGGGACCGGTGCCAGCTGGGAGGCCCGCCACTACGGCATGGAGACAGTGCCCTGACCGCTGCCCCGCCGGCCGGATGCACGGACTCTCAGAGCAGGTGTTACCCGTCTAGCTGAAGCCTCAGTGCCTCTCTCCCCAGGGCCGGCTGCTGCCGCCAGGTCCTGGCCTGTCCATGAGGGCCGAGGTCACACGTGGGGGAGGTGTGCTCTCCCGCTGCTGGGGACAGCTGCCCAGGCCTGCGGGGGCCATGCCTTCCCAGTCCACAGCCTGGTCTGGGCTGGCCACTCCGGGCCTTTGTCCTCTCCCACCAGCCTCTTCTCCCTGTGGTGCCTCCTGTCACCACTCTCAGGTCACTCTGGGGTGTTTGTTTCAGAGCTGTGTCCACAGGCAGTGGGACTGAGACCTCCTCCCCCCTGGACTTGGGACCTAAGCTGGGCTGCACATGGCCTTGTTGCTCAGTACATGTTTGCTGAATGACGAAGGAAAATGTGTGGGGTGGGGAGCTAACGCTGCACAGGCCTGGCTTGTCCCCTCCTGGTGATGTTGTCTGGGTGGGAAGTCACCTCATGTGTGGGCTGGCAGGCAGTCTGCTCTGAGGCGTGGCATGAGCTTCCACACTCCCCCAGAGCAAGCACAGGGACGCTGGGCGTGCACCGCAGTCTGTAGGTGGACGGTGTTTCTGAAAGATGAACAGCACTGACTGCAGAGATGACTGCCGTTGCCCCGTGTTGCTAAGAGAACAGTAAACACCTCCTTAGAAAATGGGTGTGAAAATTACACAGGAATTTGTAGAAGTATTTTCATCAAAATACATGAAGAAATCAGTCCAATGGTCAAAGAAGTGCAAATTAAGCAGCATAAAGGATGTGTGTGGCTTGGAATGTAACCTGCATCTCTTTTCTTAATATAGCATTATGGAGATGCAGTTCATTCAGAGTATACGATTCAGTGGTGTGGGTATGGGTGGGGTGTTAGCATACTCAATGCTGTGTGTAAGTATCATACAGCCACCTGTACATTTCATCACCCCAAAACTCAGCTCTCGGCGCTAGGAAGGTGGCTCAGGGGTAGATTGCTTGCCTCACATGCATGAGGTTCGATTCCTCAGTACCACATAAGCAGAAAAGGCCGGAAGTGGCGCTGTGGCTCAAGTGGTAGAGTGCTTGCCTTGAGCTGAAGAGCTGAGGGACAGCGCCAAGGCCCAGAGCTCAGGCCCCATGACTGGCAACCCCCCTGTCCCCCCAGAAACTCAGCTCTCTGCCTGTCACCCATGCTGCCCCTCCCGCAGCTCCACTCAGCCATGGATTGATTTCCTTCCTGCCAGTAGATTTCCCAATTCTGGGTATTTTGTGTGAATGAAGTCATCTGTGGGCTGTGTTCTTCCCCTCGCATGGTGTGTGTGAGCAGACCTGCTCCTTCATCCGTGCTGCAGCACGTGTGTGCATTTCATCCACTGTGTGTCCTCTCCACCCCTCGTCCAGATGCAGTGCTTCTATTAACATTCGTGTGCAAGCATTTGCGTAGGGTGATGATGCTGCGCCACAAACTTCCACACTGTTCTCCAAAGCAGCTGGACTCCCGAGAGCAGGGCTGAGGGTTCTGGCTTCTGAATGTGGTTTTTCTTCCAGCATCTTATGCTGTGGTTGGTCATGCTGGCCAAGGGCACTGAGCGTCTTTTCATTGCTTTTTGGGAGACTATGTGTTTCTTAGAGAAATATCTGTTCAGATTCTTTACTCATTTTAATCCAATGATTAGGCTTTTTATTGATGAGTTATGAGTTCTTACAAAGAACAAGTACTCTAGTATTCTAGCACAAGTGCTTCTATCAAGTATGTGATCTGCAGATATTTTTATCATTCTTGATGTCATTTCATATCATTTCTTGATTGTGTCTCTTGAAGTACAAAAGTTTATACTCCTATGAAGTTCAAGGTAACTTTCCCCCACATGTGTTGCTCAGACTTTTCGTGTCTCATCTAAGAAACCTTTCCCAAATTCAGCACATGAACTTTTATTACTGTTTGTCTTTTACAAGTTCTATACTTTTTAGCTGTCATTTCCAGGCTTTTGAAGGTAGTTTTGGTCTATGAGGTGAGGTGAGAATTCAGTGTCGTTCTTTCACACATAGCAATCTAGTTGTCCGGAAGGCTCGTCCTGGCACTTTTGTCAAATTCTCTGATCTGCATGTCTCCCTTGTCTCAGGACCACACTGCTTGCTTACCACTGTTTTATATGCGTCAGTTTTGAGATTGAGAAGTGTAAGCCTTCTGACTTATTCTAACCCTGTGCTGTGAGCAACTGTAAACCAACAGAGTAGATGTCCAGTGAAACAAACCTATTCCTAGAAAGATACAAACTAATCAGACAGGATCACTAAGAAATGGAATGTCCTAATAGGTAGATAAAAAGCAAAGAAGTAGAATTAGCATGATGCAAGTCTGTCCATAAAGAAAGGCCAAGCTAGGGCTTGGTACTGGTGGCTCATGCCTGTAATCCTAGCTACTGAGGAGCCTGAGATCTGAGGACTAAGGTTCAAAGCCAGCCCAGGCAGGAAAGTCTGAGAGACTATCTACCATTAAACACCAAGAAAAAAAAAAAAGCCTGAAGTGAGGCTGTGTCTCAAGTGATAGAATGCCTAGCCTTGAACAAAAAAGCTCAGATATGGTGCCCAGGCCCTGAGTTCAAGCCCCAGGACTGGCACACACAAAAAAAGAAAAGCCAAGCAAGGAACAGTGGCTTAAGCCTGAAATCCCAGGTACTTGGGAAGTAGGAGTGAGGGAATTGTGGTTTGAGGACAGCCTGGCCAAAAAAAAAGAAAAGTGTGTGAAAATAATTTCAACCAATGGATAAGCACAACGGTGTGCACCTGCAATCTCAGCTACAGGAGAAGTGCAGGTAGGAGGAGCATGACTCAGGTTAGCCCGGTCATAAAACAACAGCCTACCTAAAAAATAACCAGTGAAAAAAGGGGCTGGACCACAGGTTAAGTGGTAGAGTACCTGCCATGCAAGAATAAGGAACTGAGTTCAATTCCCAGTTATCTCTCCTCCAAAAACCAAAACCAAAAACACCAAAAAATAAAAAACCCAGCTAAGTTTCAGAGAAGTTCACAGGTGATTGTACAAACATTTAAAAAAAAGACTTAAAATCCATTCTTCACAAATGAGAATGAGGAAGACTTCTCAACTCATGAAAACACAATGACCTGTATGTTAAAATAAGACAACGGCATCAGAAAACTCCAGATACACTTCTCTTTTGAACCAGAGCACAATGACTCTTAGCATTATATTAGCTAACCAGACCCAGCAGCATTGAAAGGTGTCATATGCCACACTACGTGTCATATGCCACACACCCGGAATGCAAGGTTGGTTCAATATCTGAAAATCGTATGAATAAAATAAAAACAATCACATGATAGTTTGACAAAATCCAGCACCTTCCCTGAAGAAAATGTTCAACCAATTAGAATAGAGGGAAATTTCATCAACCTGATCAAGAATAGCTAAACAAAACAAAAAACCCAGAGCTAAAGATGGTAATAAAAACACCAGAGCTATCATGACTTAATGGTGAAGGGTTGGGCATTCCCTGAGGTCAGGAACAAGGCATAGCATAAAGCTTAAAAAACAAAGCAGGACATCATTTTGCACTCTGTACTTTGAAGACTACAAAACAATGTTAAAAGAAACAAAGATCTAAGTTAGAAAAAGTCACCCTAACCTGAAGACCTCCCATTCTGGAAGCTGTTCCCCAATGCAGACCCCCGAGACTCTACTTGGAAATTCAACAGGCTGACTCCAGTGTTCATAGAGAATAGCCTTGAAAATGAGCAGTCGTGGGATGTCTGTGTGTCTGTATCTGCATCTGCTCTGTTTCGGGGCTGTTCCTGTTGTCTGTGGTCAACTCAGAGCAATTTAGGTCTTTTCATTTTGTGTAAGCGAATGTTCGATTGCCATCAGGAGATCTTGAGGACCCTCACAGCCTAGCCTATCAAGCTTCCCCACTATGGAGTTAATAGAAGACAGAGGGAGCTCCCCTCCCCCAACCCCCTCCCCTCCAGCCTCCTCACCCTCTCTTCCCCGCCCACCTCACCCACCTCACCCACCTCTCTCAGTTCTTTGCCAGGTGGTTTTGAAGCCTCAACACCCACACTGGGTACTGGGGAAATTGATTAACATCTGAAAAGCCTTTCTTCCCACCCTGTGCTGTCAACTTCATGCCCCTCCCCCCATCTCACCCCCAGGTGAAATGAAGGAGTATCTTAAAAGGACATAGGAAAGAACCTCTGTTTTCCTAGCCGACTTTTCCGACTTGTAGTAGACATTCATCCGTGTCTTTCACCTCACTACCTAGTTGGTATTTTCTCTAAGCTTCTTTCCCTTCCATTCATAGTTTCTCCTAGACATACCCATGCACACACCAGCTCATGCATCAAGGAACACATATCCACATACATGCCTATGCATGTACAGGTGTATCCATACACGATGTGTATGTGTGTTCATGCACACATCTGTGTCTGCATGTGGTACACACATAGATGTGTGGCATGGTCTCGTGTACACACTTCTATGCAACATGAAAATCCATTCATTTGGTGGGACAAGTCATGGTCCCCTGGCCCATTGCCCAGGTCTTGAAGGAATTCCCTGAGAGCACTCTCCTGCAGTGTCACCATTACTCCTTTGAATTTTGCAAGAATTCTGTCCTCTATATTCCAAGTGTCCACTGTTCTAATAATTCCTTCCTTCTGGGCCATCCCAGAATAGCATTGTTGGTGTGAGCAACCCTGGAGCCTCTTTCCTCTAGAGTGGCCTGGTCTTACTGATGGGGACACGGATCCTCTTGCCTCTAGAGTGGCCCCTAGCCTTGTCTTGGTGATGTAGACATGGTGGTGTCTGGTGAGCGTCCCTGTCTGCCATCTCTGCTAAGGTCCCTCAACAGTGGTAGCGTGACAGGGTGGGAAGGGGTGCTTCCTTCCGGGTGCCCTGGCCTTCGCCAACCTAGTGACCGTCTTCCCTCTGACTACGTTTATAACCACTGAAGATCC